GCGCGCGCGCATGCTCTTTAGCCAGTTCTAGGAAGATGAGTCTCCTTGTGCATCCCTCAAGCCCTCTTAAATATCTGCGCATGATGTCCTCAGTGCCTGGGTAGTTTCAAGACAGAGGAATTTTTTGCGGCTAGATAGCTGGGAGAAGGAGGGAGCTTTCCCTGCAGGTGGATGAAGAAAGCAAAGTCTCAAAGAAGGGAACAAGATCTCCAGACGGTGAGTGCCCCTTTGCAAGTTACTAGAAATGCAAACTCATTTGAAAAGTTTGCTCTGTCTCCATCTGCCTCCCTGGCTCGGCGTCCTTGCAGCTCAGAACTAGGCAAGGGCTGGAAGGCAGAGGCAGGGGTGGAGTCAACATGGAAGCCAGGATTTGCACCCAATTTGCATCTCTTTTTGCAAGGAGGGGCTGCCTTAGAGAGCCTTCTCTCAAACTGGAGTTGGTCAGAGTTCCTCAGAAGCATGAGTGTGGCTCTCTACCAGGCTATATTTTGATCTTTAAATTTATTTCAAGTTTTTATTACGTAAAAAATTCAGACAGAAAAGCAAGTAAGTTGCATGTTTTGAACCCTCCATGTCCACATCTACATTAGGCTGTATCATCTGCCAAATAGGCCTTTTCTCTGCGGACGCACATTTTAGCTCTGATAGAACAGTTTGAAAATACAGACACCATGACACTTTACCCACATTTGAGTCTATTTCTCCCAAAAATAGGCTATTTACTTATCACATGAACACATGGAAGAGAGACATTCTCGAAAGCTGTCCTAGCCAGCCTTCGCACTGCACTCATTGTCACGGTTTGTCAAAGCTTTTCTTGTCTTTCTTTTTGTTTTGTTTTTTGCTTTTCAAGACAGGATTTCTCTGTGTAGCTCTGCTGTCCTGGAACTTGCTTTGCAGAGCAGCCTGGCCTCAAACTCATAGAGATCCACTTGCCTCTGCCTCCAGAGTGCTGGGATTAAAGGTGTACGCCACCATGCCTGGCTCACTCTTTCTGTTTAACATTTTTTTTAGAAGCTTTCTTCTATAGCGGCTCTGTAAGAATTCAGCACACATACCGCCATGCTCAGTTCATCTATGCCCATGTGGAGGCCGGAGGTTGACTTCAATTATCTTCCTCTATCCATCTCCGTGTTAGTTCATTTGTTTTTGATGGGGTCTTCCACCGGTGAGCTCACCCATCTGGTATAAAATAGTCCTGACTCCTCTATCCCCTCTCTACACCCCAGCAGACATCAAGGTCGAATATCTTCACATACCAGGCTCCTAAGGACCTGGCCTGCTCACCTCTCTAGTGATCCCTATGGAGGCCCACTAACTGGTGACTGAGACAAGTCTCTGTGACTCAGTTTTTTTTTTAAAGTTACACCTACTGGATAGGGTTCCTCTGAAGGCTGTATGTACTCATGCAAAACCTCGGAACACTGTGGGTTCCTAGTTCATGTTGCCCCTGCCGCCTCCTGTCCCAACTGCTCTGGCATTCTTGCCTTTTCCTCACACACGTTCTTGCTCTTCCTGGGCTGTTCCTGGCAGTCTTCTGTTTTCTCCGCTAACTGCTCTTCTCCATGGTTGAAGTCTTCTCCATGAGCAACAGAGGGGTTGGGTGTGTGTGCTATAACACTGCCTTTTGCTTAAGTTTCTTGTTAACACCTGCTGGAAGGTATTATAATTGCCCCTGAACTTTCCTGTCTCTAACTCTGGTCTACAATGTTCACGAGGCTCTCTTGTACTCCTGAGAGATCAAGTGTGATCAAGCATTATTCTGGACGTTTCTGTGAATAAGAATGGCATTTACAACAGTGGACTCTGAGCAAAGAATAATTCCCAGCACAGAGTGGGCGGGTCATGGCAAACTGGGGCAGAGCTGAATAGAGCAGACTGGCCTCCACCAGGCTGGGGTAATTTCTGTTATAGTTGGCCTTCGGACTTAATGGCAGCGTTTCTTTTTCTGTTTGCTAACCTGTAAACACACCCTGCAGAGTTTGGACTTGCTAGGCTCCATAATGGTATGGGCCAATGAGATCTCTCCCTCTCCCCTCCCTGCCCCCACCCCGCTCTTCCCAGGATGTTTTAGCATCAGTCACTCAACAGACAATTATGTTAAGAATTTTTTTGTTTTTGTTTTTGTTTTTTGAGACAAGGTTTCTCTGTAGCTTTGGTGCCTGCCCTGGAACTAGCTCTTGTAGACCAGGCTGGCCTCGAACTCACAGAAATCTGCCTGCCTCTGCCTCTCGAGTGCTGGGATTAAAGGCACGTGCACCACCGCCCAGTGATGTTAAGAATCTTAATGAGGGGTCAAGGATTCAGCTCAGTGGTGGAGAGAAGGGAAATGGTACAGATGGAAACTTAGATCTTCATTAAATAGTGAAGGGTGCTAGGAATAAGGAATGAATATCTGAACAAATATAAACTTTTTTGCAATATATATTTTCCTTTAAAAAGTACATTTGAGAAGGTATGGTGGCATACACCTTTTATCGCAGAGGCAGGTAGGTGGATCTCTGTGAGTCTGAGGCCAGCCTGGTTTACAGCATGAGTTCCAGGACAGCCAGGGTTATGGAGAAAGACGCCCCCATCTCTCTCTCTCTCTCTCTCTCTCTCTCTCTCTCTCTCTCTAACTCTCTCTCTCTCTAACTCTCTCTCTCTCTCTCTGTCTGTCTCTCTAACTCTCTCTCTCAACACACACACACACACACACATACACACACAATAGACTCGAGGCTGGAAGAGATGGCACAGTGGGTAAGAGCACTGGTTGCTCTTGCAGGGGATCTGAGTTCAATTCCTGGAACCTATATGATATCACACAGTTGTCTGTCACTCCAAGTCCAGGGGATCCTATACCCTGTCCTGGCCTACATGGGCATCAAGAATGCATATGGTGTGTAGACATACACACAGACAAAGCATCTACCCACATTTTTTTTTTTTAAAAAAAGTAGTTGATTCTGAGTTGAATACGGTGGCACATGCCTTTGATCTCAGCACTTGTGAGGAAGAAGCAGACGTAACTCTGTGAGTTCCAGGCCAGCTTGGTCTATATATTGAGTTCCAGGTGTACCAGGGCTACATGGTAAGACTCTGTTTCAAAACAAAAAAAATAAATAAATAAAATGTAGTTTATTCTTTAAAAAATTATTTTATCTGGGTGTGGCAGCAAATGCCTTTAGTCCTAGCAGAGGCAGGTGTATCTCTGAGTTCCAGGCCATCTTGGTCTACAGAGCGAGTCCCAGAACAGTCAGAGCTACAGAGAGAAACCCTGTCACTAAAAACCAAAAATAGTAAATAAATAAATAATACAAATTAAAAAGATTTGTTTTTAATTATGTGTATCTGTGTGGGGAATGTGCATGTGTGTGCAGAGACTCTTGGAGTTCAGAAGAGGGTGTCAGATCCCTGGAGCTGGAATTATAGGTAGGCATACAAGCTGTCATGTGGGTGCTGGGAACCAAACCTGGGTCCTCTGCAAGAGCAGCAAGTGCTCTTAACCATGGAGCCATCTCTGCAGCCCCAAAGTAATTGTTTCTTATTTTCTTCCTTCCTTCCTTCTTTCCTCCCTCCTTCCCTCCCTCCCTCCCTTCCTTCCTCTCTTTCTTTTTGAGACATGATTTCTTCTATGTAGTCCTGGATGTCCTGAAACTTTATCTGCAGACCAGGCTGGTGTTGAACTTAGAGAATAACCTGTCTTTGCCTCCTGAGTGTTGGAACTAAAAGTGTCTACCACTACATTTGGCAAGTAATTGATTTCTTTTAAGGTAAAAACAGTAAGTGTTTGTGTTTATAATCTATTTAGAAATAAAATATAAGATGAAAACATAATTCACCAGGTACAGGGTGTATATTTTTTATATTTATTTATTTATTATGTATACAATATTCTGTCTGTGTGTATGCCTGCAGGCCAGAAGACGGCACCAGACCCCATTACAGATGGTTGTGAGCCACCATGTGGTTGCTGGGAATTGAACTCAGGACCTTTAGGAAGAGCAGGCAATGCTCTTAACCTCTGAGCCATCTCTCCAGCCCCCCAGGGTGTATATTTTTAAAGATTTATGATATTTATGTATATGTCATGTGTGTGTGTCTGAGTATATTCCTTATGTATACGGGTGCCTGCTGAGGCCAGAAGAGGATCTCAGATTCCCTGGTGCTGGAGTAATAGTTTGTTGTTGGCCACCTAGCCTGGGTACTGAGAACTAAACTCAGGTCCCCTGGAAGAGCTGCAAATTTATTCACAATCTTGTCAGAAAAGTTAAAAGAAACTCCTAGGTTCTAGGCTGAGGGATACAATCCCTCACGAAGGGATTTTTTTTACAGTAGAGGCGTAACAGCAAAGAAAGGTGCTAGCCAGCGCTGGGCAGGATCTTGGGACTGTATGACTTCTATGACATATAACAAAAGCAGTTCTTGCTCTTCTGCCTTTCTCTGTGTCTCCATCTTAGCCTTTGTCTGAAAGGATTCTTTTCACAGCAGCGCTGGTCCTCATGTTTCTGGCTTTTAAAGTTTATCTCCTTTTTTTTTCATTAGAAAGCAATAATTGTTCATATGTTAAGGCTAGTTTTTAAAATCACCTTGGCACAAGCTAGAATCAGCTAAGAGGAGGGAACTTCACAAGATAATGTCTCCATGAGATTGGGCTGGAGGCAAGCCTGTGGGGTATTTTCTTGATTAATGATTGGTGTGGGAGAGTCCAGGCCACTGTGAGTGGTGCCAATCCCTAGGCAGGTGGCTTTGAGGTGTACAACAAAAACGGCTGAACATGTCATGGAAAGGAAGTCAGTAAGCAGTATTATCCATATTCCTGATCTGAATTCCCTCAATCACAATCTTAGTTAGGGTTTCTATTGCTGTGAAGAGACACCATAACCAACACACTCTTTTTGGGGGGGGGGCAGGGATTGAGACAGGATTTCTTGTGTAACCCTGGCTGTCCTGGAATTTCTTCTGTGGACCATGCTGACTTTGAATTCACAGAGATCCACATGCCTCTGCCTCCTGAGTGCTGGGATTAAAGGTGTGCACCATTACTGCCTGGCTCGAGACCATGGTGACTCTTATAAAGGAAAACATTTAATTGGGGTGGCTTACAGTTTCAGAGGTTTAGTTCATTATTATTATGGCAAGACATGGTGACATGCAGGCAGACATGGTGCTGGAGAAGGAACGGAGAGCTCCACATCTTGATCTGCAGGGAACAGGAAGTTAACTGTCATACTGGGCATCGCTTGAGCATAGAAGACCTCAAAGCCCACCCCCACAGTGACACATTTCCTCCAACTAGGCCATACCTCCTAATAACGCTGCTCCCTTTGGGGGCCATTTTCTTTCAAACCACCACAGATAGAGTGTAACTGAAGGGATGTAAGATAAAATACATAATTTTCCTCCCCAAGTGGCTTTTGGTCATGGTGTTCTCCCACAGCAGAAGAAAAGTTACTAACACAGGGGTAAAGTACATTATCTCAAAGCAGGCTTCTCAAGAAAGATTCGTTTTTATTTGTGTGTGTGCACATGTGAGTATCAGTGTCCAAGGATGACAGAAGGGGGTGTTGAAGCCCCTGGAGTCACCCAACACAGGTACCGGTAACCTGTTCTCTGAAGGGGCAGCCAACACTCTTAACCAGCCCTCTCCCAGGTTTTTTACCTTGATCTGAGCTGTTTTGTTTTTTTTTTTAAATATTTGTTTAATTATTATGTATACAATGTTCTGTCTGTGTGTATGCCTGCTGGCCAGAAGAGGGCACCAGGCCCCATTACAGATGGTTGTGAGCCACCATGTGGTTGCTGGGAGTTGAACTCAGGACCTTTGAAAGAACAGGCAATGCTCTTAACCTCTGAGCCATTTCTCCAGCCCTTGACTTGAGTTGTTTAAAGGGGGTTGTCCCACTGACTGGGAACAGCAGAACAGATAAATTAGGTGGGAGACGGACCACATTCTCCGTGAGTACAGAGCCAGAATGAAGAAACAGACGTGCACACGGGCATAGGGGCAAGCTCAGAGCAGCCCTTATCTTGTGCTATCATGGAGGTCCTGAGAAGACCTACTCAGAGCCACCAACTTGGTCTTGAGTCTCAGAAATGTGATCTAGGCAAAGACAAGGTTCTTGGTCACAGGAGGCCTGAGCTGCTTGTCAGAAGCCAGTGTCAATAAAAGAAACAGATTGAGGGCTGGAGAGATGGCTCAGAGGTTAAGAGCATTGCCTGCTCTTCCAAAGGTCCTGAGTTCAATTCCCAGCAACCACATGGTGGCTCACAACCATCTGTAAAGGGGTCTGGTGCCGTCTTCTGGCCTGCAGTCATACACACAGACAGAATATTGTATACATAATAAATAAATAAATATTAAAAAAAAAAGAAACAGATTGAGGAAACACGTTTGTATTATCCACACCGAAGCAGGAGGCACAGCCAGGCCTCACAGTCAATGGCTTGTGTCCTACAGCTGTCCTTCTCTGTAGGGCTTCGGATCGGCTCTTTAGATCTAGTCTCCTCCAGCAAGACTCTTGGTGGCTTCCTCTCTGCTGTCCAGGATGCTGGGGAGCTGTGGCTGGCTCCAACTCCACAGGGACCAGCGCTGTATGGCCTTTCTATGCAGCCCTCTTCTGCCTCAAGGGATGAGATCACAAGGGTGTGTCACCGTGCCTGGCCTTTTCATGTAGGTTTTGGGGGTTGGATGCAAACCCTCATGCTTACATGGCAAAAATGATCTCCTAGGCCCTTGGTGACTCTTTTTTAGGCCAGAATTCTTGGACAGCTTGTTACACAGTACAAAGAAAATGAGAGCCCACAGCCTCCCTGTCCTGGTTTAGTCAACAGAAGAAAGAGCATACCTTATACCTTTTAGCATACCTGTATTGAAACACCAGGGAAGCAGTTTTATTGGTTAGACTCCTTCACAAGAATTTTCTCCTTGGGAGACTAAGCAATGTTTCCTAAACCTCCTTCTAAAAGCTCAACAACAAACCAAAGTTAGATCCACCAAAAGTTCACTGTAGTGAACCATTGAGCTTACTAGGCTTATGAGAGCATTGGGTGAGGGGTTACAAGCAGAAGCGTAGGTAACCCTAAAATAGCCATGATAGAAAGTCTGCACCCAGCATGGAAGATGGCTCCTCCATGCCTGTGTAGATGGAACCCTTTTCCTGTAGTCTTCCTAGCTTATATTTTCTAACCTTTCTCTGAGCTCCCAAGCCACGGGCAACTAGAGTAAATGGCATACAGCTGGCTGGAAGGAGTAGCTAGATAGGCAGGTGATGTTCCAGTGGCCCTCTCTGCTCACTCCTTCTAGGAAGGAGTGCCAAGTCACATCCACGGATGGGATGGTCTTTCATAGGCAGGCACAGGTCATAGAAAGAAGGCAGTTGTGCTGGCAGGATAGTTCTATACAATAGCTCCCGTCACATGTTCAAGCAGGGGCCAATCAGTTTAGCTAGATGATAGGCATCTTTTATTGGCAAGGCCGGCCTGATCTGTATTTGGTGGTCTGGATGTAGTGTGATGGCCAAGGCCACCAGGACAAGAGCAGAGGAAGGGCAACTCAGCTCCTCAGGAGAGAGGAGAGTTGCTGCGCAGTCCAAGATGACAGATGCCTGCTATAGGCACCACGTGGGCACCATCTGCCCACACAGGACACAGTTAGGAAGCCCCTGTCACAGGGAGGCTCTAGGGTACTGTGTGGAAAGAGATGGTCTGATGAACACCTTTTCAGCAATAAAAATCAATCTAGGAAAGCCCAGATTGGTAAAAACATCTCCTGGCAAGGCTGTCAATCTCTGCCTGCCTTCTTGGCCTCCCCTCTGCAGTCCCTGTGGTCCATATCCTGGTAACAATTACGGTTCTTCTTCCAGACCCTGTACAAACAGTAACAATGTGGCCTCTCTTGAGAGCCAGCATCCTTGACTTCAGCTCCTCACTGTTCCCCCTCTTCCTAGGAGAACATTCCAGCCCCATGAGGTCAGCAAGCCGAGGGAAGCAGGGCAGGGAGGGGGGCCTTCTGGTTCCCCCACTCCATTCCTTAGTCACTGTAAGTCTCCCAGCTACTGGTGGTCTCGGCAAGCTCTGAGCATATTTGAATCCTCACACTGGTGTGAGGCAAGAATCCACTCTTGTGAAATGGCTTAGGGACCAACGAAAGCGAGAGAATTGCAAGCCCTCCCCTCCCCTCTTTCCCCGAACCTTCCCCCAGGGGCCTGTGCTTGGGCAGCTGAAGAATCTGGCATTTGGTGGACCAGCCCTGAGGACTAATGGATGCTCTGCCCACAGCGAACACAGGATGAACCGAGCTGACAAAGCCCGAATGAGGCCCTGCACTTTCCACATTTGAATGTCAGACGGGCTCAGCTCCCACCCCTTTAGGCAGCACCCTCGGTTGTGTGGGTGAGGAGACAAAAGACTTACCCAGTGAGTATGGTGGTGGAAACCTGCATCCAAACTCCGGCGGGGATCTAGAACTTCTTCCATCTGCCTCTGTGACAATAGCGGACTAGCGACATCCCCAGCATCATTCCTGCCCTCCCAGTGACCCAAGACGTCATCTATAAAGACTGTTCACTGTGCAAAGAACTCCAGGAGAGATGGAGGTACCTGAGAAAGACAAAATAGATCCTGAACTCTGCTCATGCAGCCAGTGACCTAGAAAGAGCACACTTTTCTAATCCTCATAGAGGACCCACCAAGTGTCTCACATTAGCCCTAGCAAAGCCCATTTGGAGCTTCAACATTCTGACAGTCCCCACTCACTCAAACACCTGTTCTCTTCTTCCAGGCTGTCTTGAATTGGGACCCAGCAAGTCCCTAAACTTATTCCCACAACTCACCAAGCATTTTCTTGCTGGAAGGGTCATGTTCTTCTGGTTCCCTGAGTCTGGAATGTCATTCTCTTTGCAGCCACCTCTTCTACTTCTGGTTCACAAAAACTAGCTTTTATGTAAACTCCAAGCTGAGAGTAAGCAGTTGTGCTGGCTAGTTTTGATGTCACCAGGGAAGAGGTAATCTCAACTGAGAAAATACCTCCATTTTTGATGCCATTGGAGTTGAGGGCTCAGCTCATTGTGGATGGTGTCTTGTCTGGGCACGTGGTCCTGGATTATATAAAATACCAACCTGAGGGAGCCATAAGCAAGCAAGGAAGCATTGTTCCTCAGGGTCCTGTCAGGAATCCCTGCTATGTCTTCTCGTCATGATGACTGTAAATGTGCATCAGCCCTTTCTTCCCTCAGCTGCTTTTGGTCATGGTCTTCATCACATTAGCAGCAGAGAACTAGGACAGTGGTGTGTGTGCTTCTGCAGCCCAAGCAGCTGGGAGGACTGATCAAGAGAATCTCTAGTTCAAAACTAGCCTGGGCTGCATAGCCTGACACCCTGCCTCAAAGTAAAGAAAACTCCCATAGTGCTACTGAGCCTTGTACTTTTTTTTTTTTTGCACATTTCTACACATTTAACTGCTATGAGTTTCATTTTTTAATATTTATTTATTTACTTATTTATTATGTATACAATATTCTGTATGTGTGTATGCCTGCAGGCCAGAAGAGGGCACCAGACCCCATTACAGATGGTTGTGAGCCACCATGTGGCTGCTGGGAATTGAACTCAGGACCTTTGGAAGAGCAGGCAATGCTCTTAACCTCTGAGCCATCTCTCCAGCCCCTATGAGTTTCATTTTTATTTTGACTTGGATGCCTTTCATCCTTCCTCCTCTTCTCATCATCATCATCATCATCATCATCGTAGGTATATGAATGAGTGCCTCGTATGTTCAGGTGTGCATTCCTGATTCCCAAGGAAATCAGGAGAAGGCATTGGATCCTTGGTACTGGAGTTACGTGTTCTGGGACCCTAATCCTTGTCCTCTACAAGAGCAACAAATGTTCTTAATGGCAGAGCCGTCTCTCCAGTCTCTGCCCGTCATCTTTCACTATTGCTTATTATGTAAGTTTAAATATAATAAAAACCAAAAACCAAACAAACAAAAAGCAATACCGGGTGGTGGTGGCACATGTCCTTAATCCCAGCTCTTGGGAGGCAGAGGCAGGCACATCTCTGAGATAGAAGCCAGCTTGGTCTACAGAGCGAGTTCCAGGGCAGTCAAGGCTACACAGAGAAATCCTGTCAAAAAAAAAAAAACCCAAACAAAAAAAACAACAAAAAATAAATATAAAAAGATAAAAACAATGTAAACAAAAGCTAATAAAAAATCAAATACAACAAATACATTCTGATGTTCCTCTAGAAAGCTTTTCACTACAGCTAGGCTTCCTCTCTCTCTCTGTTTGTCCATCCTGCAGTGAGCACTCAACAGGCATGAGACCCAGTGTTAAGTACTTCACACGCTGGATCTCTTTGCTTCCTTAATCGCCATTTCGGAGGAAGAAACTGAGGCTCGAAAAGACTCGCCGACGACTTTCCAACTGCCTCCTGTGACTAGGGCTCTAAGTCACTAGGTGTGAGGCCACTCCGCAGGCTCACTTCTGCTGTGATTGACAGGCCGTCCATCCACGCCAACCCCAGCGGCTCCTGGGGAACTAGGAACGCACACTGGGAGACCCCAATGGAGGCAGGTGTGCCAAAGGTAGAGGCACCCGCCTGAGATGGCCCCGCGCTCCTACTGCACCTCACCAGGTCCGCTTGTTTGTGCACAAGCTTACTCCAAGTACGCGCCGCCTGTCACCATCACGTGGTCGCCCCTCCCCGCCCCACCCCTCGGTCGCTCGCGTGGCTCCGCCCTCCGCGCCGGCCCTTCTTTCGGCCTCCTTCAGAGTCACAAGATCTCTCAGTGGGCCTTCACCTTCGCGATCCTTCCGCCGTCCCCGCCCCCACATTAAAAATCCCTTTTGGCTTTATTTTTCCAGGCCAGCTTGTATCGTCACAAGTGGGACATCCTGTTCTATCTGGAGAAGCAGATGACTTTGGCCATCGGGCATTAAGCTCGGGGTGTAGGAGGCACCCGGATAGGGACTCTTTTTCATGGCGGAGGCCTCCGCCGTTTGGAGACGCATCACGCCAGGGGGAGGTGCTGCGCGTTCAAGATGGCGGCGCCCTGTAGGCTGGAGGCACTGTGAGGTAAACAGCTGAGGGGGAGTAGACGGTGGGTGAGTACGGGGATATTTCCCCCTCTTTTTCTTGTGGGCTTTTCGGGGCAGCCCTGGCAGCGTGACCTTAGGCTGCGGGGCACTGCGGGGCGCGTTGGCCGAGTCGGGGGTCCGGGGAAGGGGGTTCAGGGAGCGCCTCGCTCGCCCTCATCGCGCGCTGGCTCCGGGGGCTCGGCTAGGGCTGGCGGGGCCCCGGGGAGCCGAGGCGGGCCTGGGCCGTCGGAAGGGACAGATGGCTGCAGCTTCGGGTCTGTGGTGGGCCCGCTCGCCCGCCCCCCTCGCTTGTTGCGTTGACAGGCTCCCGCGGGGGTGCGCGGCGCAGGGCAGAGACCCCGGCCGAGCCGGGAGACCTGGGGGTGGGGCCACGGCCCGAGACTCCGCGGCAGCCGCTGGCGCTGCGGCTGGAGAATGAATGAAGACCGCCCAGCGCCCGCTCTGTCGGGGAGAGTGTGCACGGCCGGCGTGCCTGGCTCCGGTGCACTTGTGGGTGTTTAATTGATGCTGGGAGACAGTTACCTTCTAGTCGGCAGAGGTGCTCGTTAGGGACAGCTACTCGCCCAGCCACTGCCGGACGCTCATTCATTCATTTGAGGAACGGGAGGGCCCCGCAGCCTGGAGTCCCAGACACCTTTGTGGAATCGAAGCACTTTCTTTGTGTTGGGGTTAAAAGAGTTTGGCTTCGTGCGCTTTGAATCTGGGAAGGGAGGGACGTGGGGGCGGGGTGGGGGTGCGGCCATCGGCAACCGGCTAACGTTTGAGGGGATGGGGACTGCCTCTGTGCCCGGGCACTATTGGAAGTGCTTTGCAGCCATCCTCTCTCTGCAGCTGGACAAAGGAGAAGCAATCTGCAGTCTCCCTCGGTGAAGAAACTGAGGTCTGGAAAGATTGGGGTAATTTGTCCAAGGTCACACCCCCTTAATCTGAGACAGCAGTGGAACCGAGGACCGACTGGTTTCATTTGCCTGTTATTTGATTAAAACTGGCCTATTATTAAGTGATTTAGTTAATCATTTGGCCAAGGTCTGTGCGTGTAACTTTAAACCAGGGTGCATTTTGGCTTGTATGTCTTATGCTTTTTGTTTCTTGTAGCACCTTGATCTTGTTAGTCCTAATTAGATTACACAGTATTTTGTATTTTTCTATAAACCGATGACATTCACTAAAAAAAAAAATTATTCAAACCCTTGCTTTAAAAAAAGTGTAGAATTAGCCCTTTATTTTACATAGAGTAAGCTATGAAAGTACTAAAATAGACTAATGTTCTTCCGAGATACTTTGATTTATAACTTTATGATCAAGTTGGAGTCATCTGCATTCAAACAGGCTGGGGAAATGCAGCGGTAAATTCTGAGAAGCATCACAGAGCCTGGTCTTCTGGGAGCCCCTGATTTACGGAGCAGCCCACCTGTGATTCTTAAGTTGAGCATCCCTGAATAAACCTGGGATATGCAAATAGGAAAACCGATTTAGAGTTTTGTAAGGAAATGTCCCTTTAACAGTCATACATCAGGCAAACGAGGCTCCTCAGACTTCTCTAACCACCTGGTGTAAATGTAGGGGTATTTATAGAGGATGTAAACAGAAAATACCTTCTTACTAAAGTTAATATCTTCTCTAAAAACACCATTACATCATGGGTCTAGAAGGGCAGATGATGTAAGCTTTCTCTGCTTCATGCATTTCCTGGTGTCATGAACACTTGGTATGTCCCTAAATTCCTAGTTCTAAGAAAACAGGCTCGACTTTCTTGCATGTTTTCATTACGCTGAAGTGTGTGCAGTCTCCTGCCTCGGCTGGGCTAAGAGCAGCGTTGTATGGTTCTTTTGCTGCTGTGATGTGAAGCTTTCAGCGCAGACCTGGTTTCACTTGTGAGATAAAACTCAACAGTTTAATCAGACTGTGTAATGTTTGCAGGGGAGCACAACTGCCAGAAGCAAGGGATCCCAAACTAGTTCTGAACCTCTGTGCACCAAACATCTGGCCCCTTAGTCGGTACACCTACATATTCTGTCATTGAGGATATGTTTGTTTGTTTGTTTGTTTGTTTTGGAAGAAGTCTTCTCTCTACTGCAAAGGTAGGTGATCATAGGCTTAAAGTATCATTTTGGCTATTTGCTTTTTTAAATTTATGATTTATCGTAGAGGGCTTTCTTAAGCTATCTTATTCATGTAGTTGTGGATTTTAAGCTTTGTACACAGGTAGCTTGACCTGTAAGTGCTGTCTTCTTTCAAAGTTTTTAGATTGTAGGTATGTTTGTTTTGTAATTCCAGTGCCATACTGAACTAACATTAGTTTCTCCCAGAACTGACTAGATATCCTCGAATGCCAGATTTCTTGAGTGAAAGTCTTGCTGAGCGTTAGTAAACATTCTGATCAGTGTTAATTGGTCTTCACTCTATGGTAATAGTTCTATAATGACAAAGACAACGAACGTGTGACTCTTGGGCCAGCTGGGAGGGTGAGCTTGTTTATCCTTTAAACAGAGATTCCCTTTATTTTCTCTTATAAATCTCCTTTTTAAAGACAAGTCTTATTGGTCATATATAAGTAACTTCAGGCATAAAAGAAAAGTATATGAAATAGTTGAGGTATTTTTGTTGTTTTGCTCATATGTGTGTTTTAAAGCCTCTGATCATTGCTTTTTTTTTTTTTTTTTTTTTTTGGTGTGCATACTCATTTAAATTGCACTGGGATTTCCTGTAAAGTAATTTGAGTTTATTTTTTCTCTTCTTAAGTCTGTAGTTGCTAAAAATTAGTGACTTAATGTAAATTTTAATGAGAAAGAATAAACACACACATGTATAAAAGATATGTGACCTCAGGACCTTGTCATTTTCAGTTTCTTCTAGTCCCTCCTCTCTTTTGGGGGTGTATAAAAGGAAATAGTAAAAGTAACTATTTTATACATTTTATAGCTAAATGAGTTCAGATTGACATCTAATGAATAAGTGCCTTAAATGCACAGTGTTATTCCCAAACAAGGCATGGTAGTTACTTACCTGCAATTCATAGGTCATGATGTAAGTAAATAGGGTCATAGGGTCAGGATGCTTTTGATTTTATCTTAGTCTGGTGATGAGAGCAGGGCAGGGTGGTGGTGCAGGTAAGGACAGAAGCAGTACTCTTCTGCCTGCGGTGGTTAAATTTGTGCTACATTGTGTCCCTCACAGAGAACAGTAGCAAATTTGAAGTGTATCAGTTTTAAGTTACAGAATGGTTTTACCAGTGTTTTACTGCTAGTAAATGGCTGGGCTGCTAAATTAGCACTCTACTCTGCAATACATTTTGTTTAGTGGTAACATTGTTATAAAAGTTTG